CAGACTTTTCTATTTTCTTTCCTCCATTTCCACATGACATCTCCTACATAAAGGAGAAATAAAAATCTTTCTTATGAAATTACTATGATACCCTTCAAAATTTCCACAATTACCATTTAATATAACACTGAAATTTTTCTATTCAAGTCCTTGAACTTTTAACTTGTTTTAAAATTAAACATAAAACTTTCAAAATTCACGTTTTAGTCACTAGCCCTGTTTTAGGATGTTACAATATGTATGTTCATTATTTCTTGCAGTTTTAAAACCCGTGAATATGTCTGATAATAGAGTTTATATCATTGAATTAACCAGTGAGAACTTTAAGATCTATAAGGAAAGTATTCTTCTTCAATTAGGGTGTTTGGATATTGATTATTCCATAAGGAAATCTGAGCCACATATCAGTGAAACCAGCACTCAAGTTGATCTTGCTCTATGTGAAAAGTAAAATAGGTCTAATCGCCTCTACATTAAGAGTGAGGTTCCTACTGATTTTCGTGGCTCAATTGAGCATTGTGAGAATGAATAATAACTATTAATGGGTATTGAAAATCAGTTCAAAATTTCTCAAAAATCCTTGGCTAGTACCTTGATTATGAGATTCACATCCATGAGGCTCACAACTGTGAAAGGTGTATGTGATCACATCAATAAGATGGGAGACTTAGCAGCTCGACTTAGAGCATTTGAGGTTGAAATGCCTGACTCTTTCCTGGTGCACTTTATATTTAATACTCTTCCACCTTAGTATATGCCATTTAAGATCTTCTATAACACATAAGGATAAATGGTCTATTGATGAACTTTTGACCATGTGTGATCAAGATGAGGGTAGACTCATGCTGAAGATGGGAGAGAGTACACTAAGGTGGTGTTTGTTTTCACTGTGCAAGCTCTTCAAACCACTTATGTATGCGTCGCGCAGACTACGCGCATACATTAGGCTTCGCAGACTGTTTGTTTTTTAGAAGACAGAAGCTCTTCAAACGTCTGCGCGAGCTCTTCTTGGTGCAGACTTGGTTTTATGTCTTTAAAGGTCTTCAAACCTCTTTAAGAACAATTATAAAATATAGTTATTTATTAAAATAATTTTAAATAATTTAATAAGGTTATTTATTTTAAAATAATTTATTATAAAATAATTTATTTTAAAATAATTTATTATAAATAATTTATTATAAATAATTTATTATAAAATAATTTATTTTAAAATAATTTATTATAAAATATGGATTGATTTATTTTAAAATAATTTATTTAAAATAATTTATTAGTATGGATTGATTTATTTTAAAATATAGATTGATTTATTATTGTAGTTGTATGGATTGATTTATTTTAAATAATTTATTAGTATGGATTGATTTATTTTAAATAATTTATTAGTATGGATTGGTTTTTTTTTTAAATAATTTATTTGTATGGATTGATTTATTTTAAAATATGGATTGATTTATTATTGTAGTTGTATGTATTGATTTAATTTATTATTATGGATTGATTTATTTTAAAATATGGATTGATTTATTATTGTAGTTGTATGGATTGATTTATTTTAAATAATTTATTAGTATGGATTGATTTATTTTAAAATATGGATTGATTTATTATTGTAGTTGTATAGATTGATTTATTTTAAATAATTTATTAGTATGGATTGATTTATTTTAAAATATGGATTGATTTATTTTAAATAATTTATTAGTATGAATTGATTTATTTTAAATAATTTATTTGTATGGATTGATTTATTTTAAAATATGGATTGATTTATTATTGTAGTTGTATGGATTGATTTATTTTAAATAATTTATTAGTATGAATTGATTTATTTTAAAATATGGATTGATTTATTTTAAATAATTTATTATTGTAGTTGTATGGATTATTTAAATTTCAGTATTGTAAAACTAAAATTATTTAAATCTCAGTATTGCAAAACTCTTTTAAGTTTAAAAAATTAGTTTATTTATATTCCAGTTTATTTTAGCAGTCTGCAGATGTTAAAAAACAAACAGTCTTCTTCTTGCAGACTGCAGACTTTTGGTCCACCTCTTCTGCTGCAGATGCCTGCAGATGTGGTCCGCAGACTGCAGACCTTTTACCTCTGCAAAAACAAACACCACCTAACAGTTACTTAAGGAAAAAAATCAGTCTAAGCCAAGCCAAAGGGGAAGGTTAAAATCCAACCTCAAGCTTACATTAAGAAAGAGTCCAAGTGTTTCTTTTGTAAACAGAAAGGACACCTAAGGATGACTGTGTCAAGTTCAAGAGATGGCTTCAGAAGAAAGGTAAATCAATCTCACTTGTTTGCTTTGAGTCAAATATGGTTGATATAAATTATAACACATGGTGTATTGACTATGGTTCTACAATTCATGTCTCAAATTACTTACAGAAATTAAGAAACCTGAGGGAACCAGTAGGAGGTGAACGATACATCTATTTAAGAAATAAGATGCAGTCGCATGTAAAAGGTATTGGGACCTGCGAATTAGTGCTTAGTAATGGCTTTGTTTTAATTTTAGAAAAGACTTTTGATATTCCAAGTTTTTCTATAAATTTAATTTTTGTTTCAAGACTTGCACCATTGGGTTATTGTTTTAATTTTTCAAACAATAAATTCAGTTTGTTTTATAAATTAGAAATTGTTGGAAATAGAATTTTATCCGATGGTCTTTACTCTTTAAATTTACAAAATAATGCCACTCATAATATTATGCACACTAAACCTAGTTATAAACATTGTGGTATAAATAAAGATTATTATATTTTATCGCACCAAAGATTACGACACATCTTCATTGAAAGGATAAAGAGATCAGTAAATGATGGGGTACTTAGTTCCTTAGATGTTTCTGATTTCGACACTTGTTTAGATTGCATTCAGAGTAAGCAAACTAACAAGTCAAAGAAAAGTGCCAAGGGGGGTCCGACCATATTGGAAATCATCCATTCTGATATCTGTTACCTAGATATGGATGTACAAGGTCAGAAATACTTCATTACTTTTATTGATGATTACTTACGATACATATATCTTTATATGCTTTACCATAAGAGTAAAACATGAGAAGCCTTTAAGGTTTTCAAGGCTGAAGTAGAGAAATAATGTGGTAAGTAAATTAAGATCATGAGAATTGATAGAGGTGGTGAGTATTATGGTAGATACACCGAACATGGATAAGCACCTGGTCTATTTTCTAAGTTTTTTCAAGATAACACTATAGTTGCCCAATACACCATGCCAAGATCACCTAGTCAAAATGGTGTTGTGGAAAGAAGAAATCAAAATTTAATAGATATGGTGCGAAGTATGCTTAGTAGCTCTAAGCTACCTAAGTCTTTATAAAGCTCTCAAAACGGTTGTGTATATATTAAACCGAGTTCCAACCAAGACCATCCCAAGGAAGCCTTTTGAGTTGTTCAAAGGTTGAAAATCGAGTTTGCAACATATACGCGTATGAGGATGCCCGTCTGAAGTAGGAATTTATAATCCACAAAAAAATAAATGGATCTAAGGACCATTAGTGCATATTTCATTGTATATGCCGAAAGGTTCAAAGGATACAATTTTTATTGTCCATCACATAACACTAGAATTGTAGAATCAAGAAATGTAAAATTTCTTGAGTATGACTCAATAAGTGGGAGCGATCTACCTCAGGACTCAGTTCATGTAGATCAATCTTTCACTTAAAGTGAGAGATTGGTTATCATACAAAGTACCCCTAAAGTAAAATCTAGTGTTGAGAAACCAATCAATGAAATTCCACAAGCTGCTGAAAATATTCCAGTAGATCAAATTGTTCAAAAAATTCCAGAAATTATTGAACAACTTGTTGAACAACATGATCCACAAGAAAATGTTGATTCAATATTAAGGAGATCTACTAGATAAAGGAAATCGACAATTTCTAGTGACTACATTGTGCATCTACAAGAGTCTGACTTTAATGTCGGAACTGAAAATGATCCTAAGTCATTTTCACAAGTCGTAATAATGGTATAATACTGTGGAAGATGAGATGAATTCCATGAAAGGCAACGATGTTTGGGATCTTGTACCGTTGCTCGATGGTGTAAAAGCCATTGAATGTAAATGGGTTTTGAAAACAAAAAAGAGACTCAATGGGTAACATTGAAAGATATAAAGCAAGACTTGTTACGAAGGGATTCACTTAGCGTGAAAGAATCAATTACACTGAAACTTTTAGTCCAATATTTAAGAAAGATTCCTTACACATCCTGTTAGCATTAGTAGGTCATTTTGACCTTGAGTTACAGTAAATGGATTCTTAATTGTGGCTTAGAGGGAGAGATATACATGAAACAACATGAAGGATTCTCCTATAGTGATGGTGAACACTTGGTATGCAGGTTGAAAAAGTCAATATATATACACTAATCACATCCCTTGTTAATTGTTATGCAACTTTATGTTATTATATGTTTGAAAAAAACAAATTTAGGTTAAATTATGGTTGAAACTAATAATATATTTGGATGGATTTGAGGATGAAATTGGAATATTCAGAAGATTGAGGAGTAGTTTAAAAAGAGAGTCATAATTTAGGGATAGAATTAGAATATGTAAAAATTTAAAGACTAATCTAAAATAAAAATTATAATTTAAGAATGAAATTAAAATATTCAAAAATTCAAAAATGGATTTAAAATTATAGTTTAGAGTAACTCTTTAAAGAATTGGGCAGCACCATGGAAATCTTACGTCGGGACTAGAGATCACGTGAAAAAGAAGCTAGTGAAAACAATGAAAACGGCAATACCACTCGAGGGCGAAAGTTCATGAAGGTTTCAGTGAAACAGTGTTTCAGGGGAACAAAACCCGCTTACCTCCGTCTCCATTAAGAAAGCAAAGAAGAACAGATACAGCTACCTAGCGCCACGTCATCTCTCTCTCTCTCTCTCTCTCTTTATTTTACAAAACAAAAGAAAGAAAAATGCCAATCGCCCCGTGTTATTTCTGCTTTATTTCAAAAAATTTAGGGATCGATCAACCTAAATTCTCTCCATTTCCATTATCGGTTCCAAATTTGTTTTGAGTACAAAGAAAAGAAAATCGAATTGCGAAATGAATATCTTCAGATTTGCAGGTGACATGACCCATTTGATTAGCATCTTAGTGCTTCTCCTCAAAATCTACGTTACCAAATCTTGCTCGGGTAACTTTTCCGCTACTCCATTTTCCGTTTGGTTCCCGGGAAACCGCCAAGTATTCGAGCTCTTTTTTAACTGTCATTTTAGTTTTCTTTCCCCTCCTGTAATCTCTCATTTTACTCGCTAACGAACGGAAATTAATTTATTATTATTCTTAGCCTCCTATTAACTGAATTTATTGAGTTATTGTTTACTAATTTTATATATGCTCGTTTCATTAACAATATATTGAAAAATGTAGAAGATACAGAGATTCCTATTTTCTGTGCTCGGGTATTTGAATTTGCTTGTTCATTTTTAGGTGTTTCGCTGAAGACGCAGGAGCTATATGCTCTGGTGTTTTTGACCCGCTACTTGGATCTATTCACGGTTTTTATATCTGTGTACAACACCATCATGAAGCTGGTCTTTATTGCCAGCTCTCTCGCCATTGTTTGGTGTATGAGAATGCACCGAGTCGTGAGGCGTTCCTATGACAGGGATCTCGATACCTTCCGTCATTACTTCCTCATATTGGCTAGCTTCATCTTGGCTCTTTTGGTACATGAGAAGTTCACAGTTCAGGAGGTGACTTCGTTGAATTCTTTAATGCTTTAGAGAGCTTTATTATATGAATGTGAATATTGAGCATTCGGTACTAGTTTACACTACCATTCAGTAATGCTACCTTTTTAGAGTTAGTTTCTAATTAGGTAACTTCTCTAGTTGTAATTATGCAAGCTGCAAGCAAAGCAAACACAATTATAGAAGCTGCAAGTAAAGCAAACGGCCTGAATGCTGAGATAAAACCATAATAAATTTGTTCTTTCTGCATTTTGTTGGTCCTGATTCTCCTTATTTATTATGATGAAACAAGCACCTTTTGTTTAATCAGCAATGCTTGGTTTTGGGATGACAGATATGTTGATTTTTTGCTTATACACCCCTAACATAAGTGTTTCATTGTTGGTGGTTCTTTGGAACTTGGTAGAAATATCACCTTTACTGTGGACAAGAACCCATTTGTATTAGTAATTTCTTTGGGTGCATGCATTGGATCGTTCATCTTACTGTGGCATATTATCTTTGTCTGTAAATGTTTATCTCGAGGTGCTAGCTTCTAAGTTGATTTTGCACTTTCTGAGATAATTACTGGATATTTTATCCCAAAAAGATCCCTCCTGTCCTGTCTTATAACTATGAACTTCATAGGTATATCTTCATCATACCAGGCAATTTCTCTGCTCCTCTTGAATTCCTAACTGCAATAAGATTTGCTGATAAGTTTTGTTTTGTTTACCTTTCCTTAATTTATTCATTGAAGATCTTCTGGGCATTTTCAATCTACTTGGAGGCTCTTGCCATTCTTCCACAGTTAGTTTTGTTACGACGAAGTGGAAATGTGGATAATTTAACTGGGCAATATGTCTTCTTTATAGGGTATGTCTAGTTTTTCATTCATAGACTATCTGCACAAGACGACTTTGTCTTTTTTCTAAGCAAGTAATTTATCAAAAATTAATGGGGTACATCAGATGTAATTAAAGCCTCTCAAACAGAAAACAAAGTGACAAAAATAGATTACCCCCCCCCCCCCCAATAAACAGCTAGCTGAATTCAATTGACATCGATCCATCTAAGGTAACCAGAAAACAAGACACCAAATAACCACGTCAGTCAACAGATAAACAAAAATATCATGTTCTGGGCCTTCAACCCTATAATTGACTAGTATCTTTCTGCCTTTCCCTTTTGTAGTTTTCATCAATAGAGTAGAAAATATTTGTAAATCTCCTGTCTGATTCATGCTGTTTCATTAATGATGTGAGAGAAACTATTAGGTTACTTAGAGAACTTTCTTATATCAACAGCTGCACTGTCTATTGTAGGGGTTCTTCTGGAATTCAGAACTAATTAGATGTCATGTTGATTCTTCCATTGTGTTTTATATTTATACTCCACTCTAATTTTCAGAAACTTAAACATAGCAATCATAATGAAGCTCAACTAGTTGTTTCCATGACATTTGATAGAACTTTTAGAACTAATTCAAGTGTCTGTTCCATATTTGCATGTTCATTCCTTAATCTGTGACCCCAAACCTTGCTGCTTCCCCCGTCCTATGTTGTTATTGTTGGTTTCTGTATACCTTGTTGAATGACACTGACATATTACCTTAAACATTCTAGTTGCATGTACAATATGTATTTCCAGTAGATGAACTGTTTACTGTTCCTGTATCGTATTAGACAAGAAATAGTTTCCATGCACGTACACGGATGTTTTAGAGTTGAATATCCATTTAAAGTTGCTCAAGCATATGCTCCATTTTGCCTTTACCTCTGTGTGTGTACAACATTTGGATTAATAGTGAGTTAGGCTTGAAGATTCCCAAAGTTGCCTTTGTTCAACCCCTTGGACGTTTTTAAATTTGATAATGCAATGACATTACATCAAATAGCTATGTCGGGTATTAATCAAATAAATTTGAATTTGCAGGGCTTATCGTGCTTTCTACATTCTGAACTGGATCTATCGCTATTTCACAGAGCAACATTTTAGTTGATGGATAGGTGAGAGGCTATGGGCAATGCTACTCTGGTGCTTGCTTAGTTCTACATATTGATAATCTGACGGGTGAATATTTTGTTGGTTTTAAGCTTGCGTCTCTGGTATGGTCCAAACGGCATTGTATGCAGATTTCTTCTACTATTATTTCATCAGGTAATGTATTGCCCATTTTCAAAAGATGCATATACTCACAATGTTAGCATGTGTGAAAGCCGTGTTTTTTATTGGCAGTTGGAAAAACAATGCAAAACTGCAGCTGCCAGCTTGAGCCGAGCAATGCTAGTGTTTGAAGGCATCGGATGCATTTCCCTTATTAGAAAAAGGTTTGTGCATGTTTTTGTTTATAGTTGGATTGAGAAGAAGAGCGAGTAGGATACATGATTATATAGTTCTTTCTTACCTTCATTAAACAAGTAAGAGGCCATGATTGTGGCAGTTTCATCCGATTTTCCCATTAATTTTTTACTTGGGTAACATTCTAAATCCCATGCTCATGTATAAACTGAATGATTTTCAATTCATTTGATTCATGTCTCTAAAACACGGGAATGCTAAAAAAATCCATACACTGGAGATGCATGGTTAAACAAAAATTATAATAAATTGAGACTGATAGGGGTTTCTTAATGTTGGTTGAGTTGAAAAGAATCTACACGAGATATATTGTTTGGTTTAACGAGGATAAGAAGTTTAACATTTAATCTAGATTGAACAATGGAGTCGTATAATTAACAATGTAATGTGTTTGTGTTCTATTAAGAAAAAACAATGTACACATTATCAAATAATAATAATAAAAAATTAAATTTTTTGAGATCTTTTTAAATTTTAAATTTTAAATTTTTAATATACGATAACTTATATTATTCGACTTTTACATATTCAAAGATACAAAAAAAAAGTATTATTTTTATATATCTGTTATATAATATATAACAAGATCAATTTACACTACTTCAAACTAATAAGTTTTACACTAATTTATAGTCATTAGATTTAAATAAATAGTTTAAATTTAATTAAAATTTATAACTCACAGCAAAACAATATATTTCTTTACCTTAATCACAAATCCTAAACCTTAAACTCAAAATTCCAAACCTTAAAATCCATACTCTAAACCCCAAATCCTAAGTCTTAAAGTCTCAATTTTGGACCTCAAAACTATAAACTCTAAACATTAAAATCTAAACTTTAAACCCTAAACCCTAAATCCCAACTCTAAAAAAATATTGTTTTACTATGAGTTAAAAAATATTAATTTATAAATTATAAATTTTAATTAAATCTAAAAAAATTATATATTTAAATCTAATAACCATAAATTGGTATAAACTTATTAATTTTAGGGTAAACTACGTCAAATACTACTCATCTTTAAGCTCGGGCTCGAAAATGTCACTGACGTTTCAATTTTGCCAATTTTAGCACGGACGTTTATGTTTCACTGCAATTTTGCCACTCCGCCGTTAATCCGTTAACGGGACGATGACATGACATCTTTGTTCTGTGACGACGATGATATGACTCTCTCATCAAAATGATGTCGTTTTGTTGATGAAAAAAATATTTTTCATGCGATTCGAACCGTAGACCTTTAGAATCTAAAACTAAATACCCAACCACTAAACTAACTTAAAAACTTAGTATAATCTTAAAAAATATTTTTAATGAGATTCGAACCATAGACTTTTAGAATCAAACCTAGGGACTGTCCCCACAACCCATTGGACAGACGGAGCCGGAAGCTGCTCCATCATCGACCATGCAAATTATCCCAAGGAGTGATTCTGTATTTCTGATTAAAACTATGGAAGTGAGATTGCAGCAAAGACTGAAAATTTGTAAAGAAATTGAGAATTAAAACTTGCCCAGAATTTGGAGTTGGAGTGTAAGAGGCTACGAAAGCTGCCAACCCTTTTAATTCTGGTGATCTTAACACTTGTGGTACTATTGCTTTCTTCTTCGGTGCTGCATTCACTGTCTCTATCACCAGAAGATGGGAAGACATAGCTATTCCTCTGCTAGCCTTGAAGGTCCTTCTTCTCAAAGAACCAAGAAAACCTTTTGCTTTGTACGTTCCTCTCTTGCTAAGAACCATGGAGCCAAGGTGCACCCTCTCGGGACTACTACTGCCACCACGAAAGGATCCGTAACACGCACTTCCCATTCTGAAAGAAGAAGATGACTGAAATCTATCACCTTCCAAGGCTGGGGTATTCCTGGCATCGTGTAGCAATATGGGAGGCAGTTCCAGGCACTTTTGAGCCAAGTCATCGGGGTTAGAGAAAATGGTGAGTGTGGTACAAGGTTTAGGCTTTCCCGGTTCCTCTTCCCAGCGAAACGGAACCGAGGCTGAGGCGTGTAATAGTGGAGTATTTAGTTTTTTTAAGATTATACTGAGTTTTTAAGTTAGTTTAGTGGTTGGGTATTTAGTTTTGTATTCTAAAGGTCTACGGTTTGAATTATATGAAAAAAAATATTTCATCAATAAAACAACGTCGTTTTGAGCTTTTAGAGCATCAAAACGGTCGTGTCAAAACGACGTCGTTTTGACGAGGGAGTCATGTCATTGCCATCACGGAACAAAGATACCATGTCATTGTCCCGTTAACGGATTAATGGTGGAGTGACAAAATTGCAGTGAAACATAAACGTCTGTATTAAAATTGAACAAAATTAAAACGTCAGTGACATTTTCAAGCCCGAAATTAAAAATAAATAGTATTTGACATAGTTTACCTTTAATTTTATATAGGTAAT